GAGTCTGTGAGGCATATGGAGGCTTGAAGTGAGGGTGGAAGCCTAAGTGCGTTGCAGCCTTGGGGGCGGGGGGCGGGCCGAGAGGATAGGCACTGAGTTCATGTGTTGAGGAGAACAATGGGTATTTCCATAAAACCGTCCTTATTTTCTCAAAGCCCCAGAAAATGTCTGGTTTTTATTTTTCAGGCTTGGATGTTCTTTGAGGGAAATGCTCAAGGACTGCAATCTGTTGGATTCCAAACTCTTTCTCTCACCTGGTTTGGGAAAATCAGTGGACATTACTTTGGATTAAGATTCTCCTCTGGTTTTTATGGGAATCATTTGGTGTCCTGAGCCTTTAGCCAAGTGACAAGACAGGCTCAGGTGGGTAGGCAAAGCTCGGGCCGAGACATCGTGTCTGCATTTTCTGGGATCCCCAGGCAAGGTTGGCCACTGTTAAGATGAGAACATGACCCAGAGGAACCAACACAAACCTTTGTAAGAAGAGTTGCTTTAACTTGATAGATGAAGCAACTTGTGAAGCCACTTCCAGTTTCAAGACTGTTGGTTTAGTAAGTTCATGATCTTGAAAGAAATGAATATGGTAGACATCTTGTTAGTTTCCTTTTAGAAGTTGGCATCTTGGAATCTGACTCCCTGGCGGTAATAATTTTTCCCTGGGGATTTCTTCTGTGTCCTGAGGTGTGGCCCCTGTGAGCTCTCCTGCATTTACTTTATGAGGAACTCAAATTTCAATCCTTTTGTTTTCTCACCTGGGAGGGGCTCAGTTTTCAGAATTATTGCTTTGTTCTCTAATGACTTTTTTTCTTCTGATGTTGGATGATACATCTTACATATCCAGAGTGTTTGACATTGAACAGACAGTAAAATACCTTTAACGACAGATTTAGTCCTTTATGCCTTAGCCGCAGACATGCCCATGGGGTAAGCTTGGATTGAGTGCCTCACTTAAAGCTCTGTGATGTCTCTGGTGAAGCCTTTTTGTTTGTTTTCTTTTCCTTAGCTCTTATACTGTGTGTTTCCAAGAGCCTCTGTGCCAAAGTACCACAAGCTGAAAGGCCTCAGAAATGGATTGTCTGCTGGTCCTGGAGGCTGGTTGTGTGAATTGAGGTCCTGCATTTTTTAGCAGCTCTTGGGGAAGATGCTTTTCTGGCCCTTGCAGATCCTGGTGGCCTCTGAAGTTCTTCAGTTTGTGAACCTTAACCTCTGTCTCTTTTCTTCTTATGACCTCTTTGTCTCTTCTTCACTTCAGAAAAACTCTCATTTGAATCCTTTTGTTTTCTCACCCAGGAGGGGGTCTGTTTCAGATTTATTGTTTATTTTTTGTTCTCTAATTGTTTGTTTTAGAGCCCTCCTTCCTCCAGTATGACCTCATGATAACGCTGTTTATAGTAAGGTTCCATTCCCAGCCACTGGGCCTAAGGACTTCATAGGTCTCTATATGAGATGTGATTCAACCCATGATAGATATAGTTTGTATACTTGTCACTGTTTGGTTGTTTGGTGCTTGCAGTTCTAATTCCTAGTGACTCTGTGCAACAGGACTAAACACTGTCGCGTCCTTGCCATCTCCTCAGCCATTGCTGTTTCTGAGCCCACTGTTATAGCCATTGTGTTGTTTCATTGTGCCTTCTTTTTTCATCAGCCCTTTATTTCACTTTGTCTCCGCCCCTAGGGTTTGGTCCCTCCTCTTTTCCAAAGTGGGTAGAATTTGTCATCTTTACTTCCAAAGAGTTTTCCGACTACTATTTTTTTTCCTCCAATAGAAATTGGTTTCTCCTTCTGAAAATATGTGATACATTCAAGTATGCTTTACCAACCATAATTCAAATGGGTCAGCCCTTTCTTATCCTTCCTAATTCATTGTGCAGCTTTCATGCATGTCCGGTGACTGAACACGACCGTGGCTTTGATTAGGCATGCCTTAAGTCCTCAGACTGAGAGTTTTGCTTTTTAACACTTTACAGAGGTTTCTGTAGCCAATTTGCTGATGGAGTGCATAATTTGATTGCTTGGCTGTTACTTCGTGGCCATTGTAAGATTCAAGTAAAATGAACTACAAGACAACTTCAGTTTTTTTCTTTGCTTGTAATGTTGTTGTTTATTGTCCCATTTATGGGATTTTTGTTTGTTTGCTTTCTGTATTTTGACCAGTAATTCATACTGAAAACATTCTTCTAAGTGGTATAGCACTGGTCTGTCCATTTGCTGTTCAGAGGTAACTCATGGTTTCTGTGATGCTAAACACTGATGTGTGAAATGCGATAGTGGTTATCCATGGTGGACAGTGTTTAGTGGAGCTTCCTGATTAGAAAGGCTTAGAAGCAGGAGTGGCATCCACCTCCCATATAGCTTGCTTCTGGAAACTCTGTGAACTTGGAGAAATGATAAAAGTCATACAAGTGTTCAGGTCTTTCATTCATAGGGTCACTATGAGTCGTCTATGACTGGACGACACTTAATAACAATAATCCACACTGAAATGTTTGATAGTTATCAGCAAGTACTTCAAGTCTTCTTCACTTTTAGCAAGCAGGTTCAGGTTCTTAATGATTTCCCCACCTAATTCTGATGCTATATTCTTTTTTATATAGGCCACCTTCTCCAACTATTTGCTCAACATACAGATTGGATAAATACAGTGAAATGATACAACCTTGATTCGTACCTTCTCTGATTTCAAACCAGAGAAAACGCCGTTGTTGCATTTGAATGACTTCCTCTTGGTTAATTTATAAGTTCTACACATCTTTAATTAGAAGTTCTACAGTTCTCATTCTCTTGTATGTTAGTTGTGATCCACACAGTTGAATGCATTCATTTTGCCAATAAAACACAGATAAATGTCTTTCAGTCATGATCCGTCTGACATCACCAATGATCTCTTTTGCTCCTTTTTCTGAATCTAGCTTGAATTTCTGGCACTTCTCTGTTGATAGCCTCCTGCAAACATTTTTTTTTTTAATTTATTTTCAACAAAATCGCACTGTGTCTGATATTAAAGATATCTCATAATTTCTGCATTCTGTGTTTTTCTTCATAAAGGACTCAAATACAGAACTCTTTCAGTCAGTTAGCCAAGTAGTTGTTTTCTAAGTTGGTTGACATTAACAAGTTAGTGCTCCCAGAATGTCATCTTTGTTGCAACTTTTCATTTGATTTCTGTTAATTCCTGGGGACTTGGTTTCAGCTATGCTCTCACAGATTGGACTTCATCTTCCTTCCTCTTCATCACGTTCTGCCAACTGAAATGCTGAATGTTAACTAATGGTACAATGATATATATTTCTTTCTCATTCCCTTGATATTTTCTACATTGTTTATTATTTAGAATCCTTCAGTATTGTAACTCAGATTTTTAATTTTTTTTCCTCAGTTCTTTTAGCTTGAGAAATGCCAAGCATGTTCTTAGTTTTTGGTGTTCTAACTATAGGCCTTTGTATACTTTCCTATGACTTTTTCTCCTCCAGCTGTTCTTTGAAATGGAAAACTCTAGTTCTTTCATGCCATCATTTCTATCTTTATATTTAGCAGCAAGTTTCAGAGTGTCTTCTGACATCCAGTTTGATCTTTTCTTTCTTTCCTGTCTTTTTAATGACTTTTTTGCTTTCTTCTTGTATGATATCCTTGATGCCATCCTGTGATTCATCTCATCTTTGGACATAATTATTCAGTGCATCAAATCTATTCTTGAGATATTCTTTAAATTCAGGTAGGGTTAATTGATGCTTAGGCTCTTATGCACTTGTTTTCAATTTCTTCAGCTTCCACTTGAATTTTCATTAAAATAGTTGATGGCTCTATTCTGTCTGAAGATTGATTATATTAATCACCATTATTGTCACCACTGTTGATTCAATTCCAGTATATTCCATCTGGCATGGACATTGCTTATGTGTAGGAAAAAGGTATTTGCAAGAAATTATTTCTTGCTTTTTCAGAATTGTATTTCTGTAACCAAAGCCATATTTTCCAATTACTGAGGCACCGCCTTTTAACTTTCAGTTTTGTATTCTATTCATGAGTGATTATCAGTTCATCTTTATTGCAAGTCTGATCACTTTCAAGCTGCAGAAATTGGTAGAGGTCTTCATCTTGGTGTTAATCATTAGTACACATATTTGAATATTTTTTGTATTAGCAGCTATTCTTTGTATGTGTATGGAAATTAGCCTGTCACTGACAATATTGTACTTCAGGCTAGACCTTGGGATCTTCTTTTTGATGATGAATGTGAATCCTTTCCTCTTCAATTTGTTGTTGGCATGATAGACCATATGATTAATTGATTAAAAATGACCAATATGGACCTATTTCAGCTCCTAATGCCTAGGATATTGATATGTGTGCATTCCATTTGGTTTTGACAATTTCCTCTTTTCCTGGAGTCAAGACTTTTGTCCATTCCATGTTCAAATTATTACTGATGTCTGCAGCTTTTTTATTTTGAATCACAACAGCATATGAAGGCAAGAAGAGGTGAGGATAGGAAGACAGAAAGAACAAAGGAGAATTCATATTAATAAGTATGTTTCTGATAAAAAAATACAAAATAATATCCTTTTTTCCCTTGAGTAACACATGAAACATGAGCTTTCTTTCCTCCAGTTATGTGTAATATTCCTATGCCTCATAGCAATTTTTGAAAATGAAGAAAATACACATGGCACAAAATTTGCCTCTTGTCATACAGGAAAAAGTCTCCAAGTCTGTTAAAATAATTTACTGAAAGCAAAAATATTTTAATTTAGAGTCATAACCTAGGAGTATGTGGAGATCATGAAGACAGAAAGTAGACTGGACTCAAGAGTCAACAGAGAATTTCTGATTGATTTGATGATGTGGGTGTTTTCAGTAGACCACCAAGAACACATCTAGGAAAATTCTTCCTTTTATCCCTTTTCTACATATTTTGAGTTTGTTTTCTAGCTGCGTTCTATCTGCGAGCAAGATCTTTCTGTTTGTTTACACACCAACAGTCATGAGTCATCCTCTCAGACATGAAACCAGAAGACAAAGTGGAGTTCACCTTGTGTGAGTCATTTTAGTTTTGCCGTGCTGCACAGATTTTTAGTATCTTTGCCCTGTCCCTGAGAATGTTGTACATCTGTGTAAAATGGGCTGTGACAACCATCTCCATCCAAAAGCATTCAAATAGTATGCTGGTGACCTGCTGGCGAATTCTGTCTTGTTATCACATCAATTCCAATTCACAGTGACACTGCAGGACACAGTAGAACTGTTAGTAGGGTTTTCTAGGTCACAGTCTTGTGAAAACAGACTGCCACATCTTTCTCCCACCTGCAGGGTTTGAACCACTAGCCTTTTGATTTGCCCATTGTGCTACCAGGGCTCCTTGGGTTTAATACTTTAATTTGTTTGGTCTCATTTAGTCCTGGAGCACTGACATTGCAAGTTTATTTTGTTTTTTTTGGTTGTGCATGGTCCTCTGAGTTTAGACCCTAACCCTGATTGCCTGGGTTTACACCCATCTCAGCCACTTTCTAACTGTAGTCTGGAGTTTGCTCTCTCTAAGTCTTAGCCTCCTCAGTCGATAAAAATAGGACTAGTAAATATTTACTTCACAGATGCATATATTGAGAATTAAGTGAGTTATTATTGTAAATGAACACAGAGTTTAACACATGGTAAGAGCCCTATAATGTGACAGGTAATTTGGTTTTTGTTCAAGGAATAGGAATTATCTATCTTTAATCTTTGATTCTCTGGTGGCCTAGTGGTAAGGAGTTGTTCTGGCAACCCTAAGATTTGCAGTTCAAATCCACTGACTGCTCCATAGGAAAAAGATGCATAATCTCCTCTTGTGTGCTTAATAGCCTCTGCAAACCTGCGGGAGGCCCAGCTATGAATTGGTTCTGACTCAGTGGTACACAAGAACAACAATCTTGGATGAGAGGAGCCTTTGTGTATAGTTAAGTGTGTTGGAAGCTGGAAAGTCAGCAATTTGAACCCACTTGTCACCTCACAGGCAGCTCTGGTGGCCTAGTCTGTAAGGAGTTGTGCTGCTAAACCAAGGGCCGTACCTCTCTGGTGGTTTGAATCCGTTGGCAACTCCAAGGGAGAAATACGGGCAGTCTCCGTCTATGTGATTTTTAGTCAGGTCTGTTCCGTGTGAGTTCCAGTTCACAGAGTGAGCCACTCTGTGGGAGAAAGATGTGGCAGTCCACTTCCACAAAAGTGTAATACAGCCTTCAGAACTCTCCTGGACAGTTCTCAGCAAGACGGACTGACACCGTGACTTAACAGTGGCCTTGAGCTTGTTGAGATTGTGAGGATGGCACAGTGAAGGGTGAGGCCACTGTGCGCCATAGTCGACTTGATGACACCGAACAACAAACCGCCAGTCCTCTAGGGTTACTGAGAGTTGGAATTGACTCAGCAACAAGTTCTGACGGTTTGGTTGGTAATTCAGTGGTAGAATATTCAACTTCCTTGCAAGCGACCAGATTACATTCCTAGCCATTGCCCCTCCTTGTGTCACCACCCATGTGTCATCGGATGCTTATGTGTGTTGTTGCTAGCAGGCAGGCTTCAGTAGGGCTTCTGAACCAAAATGGCTTAGGAAGAAAGGCCTGGCAACCTACTTCCAAAAATTAACCCGTGAGAACACAGTGAGTCTTGGAGGCCTGTTCTGTTGCATCATGGGATCGCTCAGGTCTGGAGAGGCTTCTGTGTCCTTGTACATGAGTTACTGTGAGCCGGGCACTGACCTGAAGGCAGCTAACAACAAGTCTTAGATGTGTAGAATTATTTTGCCTGACCATATAATTAATTGTGTGTAGCAGGAAGCGGAAGCCCAGATCATTCGACTTACCCCCTAATTGCTTGTAGCAGGAGGCTGAAGCCCTGACTGCTTTTAGGAGTTGGTGAGCTGCAGATTTGGAACTGCCACAGGCTCCTTCTGTATCTTTCTTTATTGGCAATGGTGATCATATGGGAGAATTGGCAAACTTTTTCTCTAAAAGACAACCCACTAATGTTGAACTGGTTCTGACTCATAATGACCCTCCACTAGGTTTCTGAGGCTGTAAATCTGTACAGGAGGAGATTGTACACTTTTCTTCTGTGCAGCATCAGGTGCATTTGAACTGCAGACCTTATGGTTAGCATTCTGAGTTATGCACTAACCTCCCCCCACCCCAGCCCCAGGTCTCCTGGATCCTAAATATTGAAGGGCTTGTGGACCATGCCACATGCATCCAGTTCTGTCTATATATGCCATTACTCCAAAAGAGCAGTCATAGATCTATGCAGGCTGCTGAACGTTAGTTATATTGATGAACACTGCAATTTGAATTCCAGCTGACTGGAAGAGATATTTGTTCCCAGTCCAAAGAAAAGTGACCTGACAGAATGAGGAAATTATCAAACAATATCATTGATATCACAGGCAAGCAAGATTCTGCTGAAAATTATCCAAAAATGACTGGAGCAGCACTTCAACAGAGAACTGTCAGATGTGTAGGCTGGGTTTAGAAGAGGCTATGGTGCTAGGGATATTATAGATAATGTCGGATCTTGGCTGAAAGCAGAAAGTACCAGAGGAATGTCTGTCAGTGTTTCATTGACTTTGCAAAGGTATTTGACTGTGTGGATCACAACAAACTGGCTGACTCTGAGAAGAATGGGAATCCCAGAACATTTGTGCTTATGTGAAGCCTATACTTGGAACATAAGGCAGTCGTCAAAACAGAGCAAGGAAACACTGCATAGTTCAAAACTGAGAAGTGTGTATGCCAGGGATATATTCTGTCTCCATACCTTTTCAATCTATATGCAGAACAGATCATCTGGGAATCTGGGCTGTATAAGGAGGAATGTGGCATCAGGATTGAAGGAAGATTCATCAACAACCTGCGTTATACACATGACACAACCCTGCTTGCTGAAACTGAGGAGGACCTGAAGATCTTGCTGCAGAAGATCAAGGACTGCATCCTTCAATATGGTTTGATGCTTAACTTCAAGAAAACAAGGATTCTCACCCCTGGGCTGATTGGCAGCATCATGATGGGTGATTAAGAGATTAACAGTCTTAGCTTGTTTGTCTCCACCAATCAACACTCTTGGTACCAGTAGCCAGGAAATCAAGAGATGAATTGCATTGGGAAAGGTGACTGTCAGGGACCTCTCCAGAGTACTGAAGAGTAGCAACGTCAGTCTGGAGACTAAGGTGCACCTAATCCAGGCCATAGTCTTCACAATTCCTTGCTATGCAGCAGAGAGCTGAACAGTGACTAGGGATGATAGAAAGAAAATTGATGCCTTTGAGCTGTGGTGCTGGAGAAAAGTACTGAGTATACCATAACTGCCAGGAGAACAAACAGTTTCATCCTAGAGAGGGTGAGACCAGCCTGCTCCTTGGAGGGCAGGATTCTGAGGCTTTGTCTGACATACTTTGGATGTGCTACAAGGGAGGACTGGTCCTTGGAGAGGGCCATGATGCTTGGAAGAGTGGAGGGATGGAGAAAGACAGAAAATCAGTGAGATGGATTGATTCAGTGACTGGGGTAATGAGGGTAGGTGTTTTGGAGGCAGTAAAGTTGGCACAGGATAGAACAGGTTTCAGGGCTCTTGTACATAGGGTCACTATAAGTTGCAAGTGACTCGGTGGCACATAACAACAACACCACAACAGTTACCATATGTTACTAAATACCAGTCTTATTTTTCTCTCCAACCTCTGATAATGTCAGAACCTTCTTTAGCTCCCAAACCGTACAAATACAGGCATAGCTCTTTGATACTTGGTCTTACCTTTTGTTTTGCAAGAGAAGTCATGATCATTGTAGGCTTTCCCCCTAAATTCTAAAGACTGAAAGAAAAGCATTTTCTTCCATTATTTCTCATGTTTTCATCAAGCTTGAATAAAAGGTCCTTACTAATTGTCTTAATTTCCTAGAGCTTTTGTAACAAATGGCATAGGTAGCGCAGGTAGCTTTAAAAGACAATGAATTTCTTCTTTTCAGTTTAGAGCATTTGAAGCCCAGATCCAGGGAGTCAGCTCCACGAGGGTCTCTCACTCCGTCAGCTCATGGGGAGAATCCTTGTCTTTGTAGCTCAGGGTTCTTAGTGATAATCAGTAGCTCCTGGCTTCCACAGTTTATGCTGGCATATCCATCTCTCTCTCCTTGCTGCTTCTAGTAACTCAAGGTGGATTAATTTTTGCTTGTTTGCAGTGGCGGGTGGCAGGGAGGGGTGTAGGAAGAGTGCGGGCAGGTGGGGTAGAAAGCATTTAAAGGCCATTGTGGGCTTACTGTTGTAGCCTGGGACCATGGATGGTTCTTGGTGACATGGTGGCAATTAGGCAGGATCAGTGGTGGTGGAAACAGTTTTTGAGTAATCCATCATCAGGCTGTGGCCTTGGGAGTCCTGGGTCTGCTTAGTGACCATCCTGCCTGCCTGTCTCCCTAAACAGTAAGGTGTTCACACAGCGTTCAAGTGACACAACGTTCGGTTGCATAGAAAGTATAATGAACACCAGGGGAGGCATCAAAATGTATCTGCAAAAATGGGGTTAAGATTTCATCCACATACTCAAGATGGAACAGCATCCTGTTTGAACTTCCTTTTTGGGGATTTTTCTGTAAAACCATGTAGAAGAAGTAAAAAGAAGCAGGACTTAATGTTTGTTTCCTTAAGATGTAAAAGTAACTGCATCTACTGAAAGGCACTGAAAAGTAAAAGCAAAGGGAAAAACTGGATTGGAAAGGCACACTGTTAATAAACAGAACCCTCTTGTCAGAAAACACACTGGCTACTGTTTCTATCAAGTCTGCTGTTCCTATAGCTGAAATAAAGACACTTTCAGATTCTTGAGAGCTTTTTTCTTTTCATTGTAAATTAATAAGAAGGCAGCAGAAAAGAGGTGGTATTCAAGTAAGGAGGGAAAGAAAATTTATGTTCATGGTTTTTACTCCTTTTAACCTTTACATATATGTATGTGTGTGTGTTGATTCAATGAATTTAAGAATGTAAGTGTGAAAGAAGAATCTTATTTACATCAGAAACTG